AATCTTCACATCTCTCTTCCTATATATTCCATATATATTCTCTATATAGTCCCTATATATCATTATTCATCTCTTCCAATATTTTACTCCTATATTCCATCTCATTTCTACATTCTCTTACATATCTCTCTCCATATCTCCATACTCTTTACCCTATCTATTATCCAGTCTTACTATATCTTACCTATATCTTAACATATATATTACATATATATTATATATACATTTTATATCTATTAAATATACATTTTATATATATATATCATATATATATCATATATATATATATAATATATATATCATATATATATATATATCATATATATATATGTTATATATATGTCATATATGTGTCATATATATATCTTATATATCTTATATGTGTGTGTGTGTGTGTGTGTGTGTGTGTGTGTGTGTGTGTGTGTGTGTGTGTGTGTGTGTGTGTGTGTGTGTGTGTGTGTGTGTGTGTGTGTGTAAATAAAAAACTAACCAACAAGTACAGACTGAAACCACTCAAGATGACAGAAGGAATGAATATCTACCTCCTGTTGTGGGGCCGCACGGGGGAGAAGTTCTCATTGACGGAGTCGGACTCGACCAGGTTGGAGGAGGCGCGGTGGTGGGTGAGGAGCTGGGTGCGCAGCCGGGGCTCTGGGGGGGGGCTCATGTCGTCCGAGTCGGTGAGGGGGATGGAGGATTTGTTGTCCTGGGAGAGGAGGACTTCGCCGATGCTGCTGGAGGAGTCTTCGCTGAGGGCGTGGGTGCTGGACAAGCCTGGGGGGGGGGGAGGGGAGCATTATTAGAAATAATAAAAGAGTATTTCATGAGGAAAAATGCAATTATTCACTTGGTTCTAGTCTCTTAATCTCATACGTTGGAGAGGAGACCCTGGTGAGAGATAAAAACACATGGTGACTGGAATCTTAACAAGAAAATTATGAAAAGGAAAACAGCCAGAGTAAATTGTGACATCTGGAACTCTTCTTCATCCACTTCGGTTTATTATTCGTCAGAATAGGAATTCATGAAGAGTTAGAAACATCACGATTTATATTCATTTCTTACTGTGGCTGTTTTCCTTTCATCTTTGTGTACACGTTACTGTGTTTGTGTTTGTGTCAAACAAAATTGTATTATAAATTAATGGAGTGGATTATTCAAAGAGATGTGAATGGCTTTTGAGAGAAATTTATATAAAAAAGGTATGTACAAATAAAAAGTATTACATCACATATACTACACAAGAATTTCAGTTATGTTTTGTAATTATACATGTAGAGTCTGTACAAGTGTTATTATATATGTATGGGCAGCAAAATTTAAAAATTATATGCTTTTTATATCAGGATGGTATGAAATCCTGTGAGATTTAAATTAGCATTCCTTGCACAAGTCAAGTAGGGATCTACATGTGTAAATGTTTTGCTTAATTATATTAACTGATAAAATATAGAGATAGAGAGTTGATGGTGGAAGTGATATATGGATTAACGTGAATGTTTATGATAAAAATGTGAATATTTGGTTTTAGTATTGATTGCTAAATATTAATACATCATGATCAATGAAGTAAACACACCATGATGGTCAAATAAACAGATAAACTTTAGGATAGTTTTGTTGAAGTAACAGTATTATATTACTTACAATTGTAAATAAAAAGCTACTTTATGTAAATTTACAGGTTGAATTCTTCAAATAAAGGTGAAATACTCATCATAGACTTTTATAACACACTCCTTGAGTGACTCATACTACAAGGGGGCAGACACAGGGATGAATTTAAATTTAGTGGTCTCTTGGCAGATAATGGCTTTGGTGGGAAGGCACTCACATTTATCATTCACCAACTTGATGATTATGAGTGAGATAGAGGTAAAAAGAAAGGGAAGGGAGAGTAAAGGTGAAGGTTAAGGTAAGAGAAAGGGACAGGGACAGGGACAGGGACAGGGACAGGGACAGGGAGAAGGAGGAGAAGGAGAAGGAGAAGGAGAAGGAGAGGGAGAGGGAGAAGAAGGAAAAGGAAAAGGAGGAGAGGGAGAGGGAGAAGAAGGAAAAGGAGAGGGAGAGGGACAGGGACAGGGAGAAGAAGGAGAAGGAAAAGGAGAAGGAGAGGGAGAGGGAGAAGAAGGAAAAGGAAAAGGAGGAGAGGGAGAGGGAGAAGAAGGAAAAGGAAAAGGAGAAGGAGAGGGAGAAGAAGGAGAAGGAGAGGAAGAGGGAGAGGGAGAGGGAGAGGGAGAGGGAGATAGAGACGGAGAGGGAAAGAGATGGAGAGGAAGAGGGAGAGAGAGAGGGCCAGGGACAGTGAGAGATAGAGGTCTTACTAAGATTGTTGGCCAGCTTGGCGCGTCGCTTGAAGCCCCTCCTCTTGCGGTGGTATTGGGGCAGCTGAGACTCGTCCAGGGCGTGGGAGAGGTCAGACACGAGGGCGTCCATCTTGTGTCGCAGGTCCACCGCCGTCACCATTCGCAGCCTGTCCCCTCCGCCACTCGCCATACCA